AAAAAAAAAAAAAAAAAATGAAAGTGACTTCCTGAAATATGATCAAGTAGTGGGATATGCGAGCGGCGCTTTAGGAAATCCCGGCGACAGCTGATTCAACTCCGTGCGCTCTCCCCATTCACAGACGGCCGAGTCCAGAAGCTGCGTGGCGCGTTCAAAAAAACCAAAAAACAAAAACTGAGCAACGGATAGAAAATAAAAAGCGAGCGATGAAAACATTGACAGATACACAAGCCGCTGTTGTCTCAGTCGCCCGCTGGAATGACATCAATTCCGGGGCAATTACTGGAGAGAAGTGTTGTCTTATGAGTGAGGACCATGTGCTTCAATGAGAGGCTCCGCGAGGTCCTAAAGCCACCTCTAGCGCCCATTATCAGTAACTGAGCAGCGGCAAGGTAGCAGAAACTAACACAGCACTTCCGGCTTCAGCTTTCAAAATAAAGACCCAAATAGCCTTTATGACGCAATAATGTTTGCAGCAGAAGATTGAAATAGAGTGTATGTAATGTGAAATAACTTAAATGGAATGCTGTTTTTAATGTTATCCTCCTCTCCTTTGACCTATCATAGGTTAAACAATGGAATACCACCTGATTATGTTAAGATTGCTCATGAAAGTTCATGATGTTGACTTTGGAAATAGTAGTTTCTGTGCTTTTACTGTGTATTGCAGTTGATTGCTAAAACAGCTAGTAGCTGAACCTCTTTGTATCATATCATATACGGCATATACAAATGTTGTGATGATATGTAATGATACATGTTAAATACACAATATGTTTTGGACCTTATGCCGTCAGATCTTGTGATTCCTAGATTGAAGTCAAGATTATTTTGTCAAATTACACGCAGAGTCCTACATGTTACAAGTTGAATATAACCCATATTTCATTTTGCTCTTCACAATGACTGGAAGGTGCAGGTTTTATTTTGAAGGCAAGCTGCTCAATTTCCGGTCGCTCTCTTGGTATCCCTCGCTCCTAAGTGCTTGATAGGCGCACACGTACTGTACCATAGTAGCCCACACTGACTGTACATTTGAATGATATAGTCTACACAGCCTTCACTCACAGAAGTTATTATGGATACATGTTGTTATTCAGGCAGAATGACAACATGCTGAAAGCAGCATTGTGTGAAGAAAAAAAAAATCTGACTTGCAAATCCATTTGAATCTAATGGCTCCATGCATGGAAAAAATATTCATGAGACCCACAACCAGCTCCAGATTCAACTTCTTATTAAGGCACTGTGATGCACTAAAAGATTACTGCTTGGACCTATATAATGCACATGGCCCATTCAAACACTAGACGTAAATCAGTTGTGCTCTTCAGTGTTTGCACTCATGGCCATCCACTTCAGGAGAGAATGTGTGCAGAAAACAGGCTGACCATGGAGGCTGGGTTCCTGAAAGCTTGTTCTCCAGCAGCTTGAGAAAATTAAAGTACAGCCTTTCAGGAACAGTCTGTCTCCCAGCATGGAGACTGGAGGTAAAGTCACAGCAGCACATCCAATTGCTGCCTTACACCGTTTGAAATATAGGAACTATAGTGTGCAGCCTAGTGTCATGAAGCTCAGAAACCTCCATTTCTCAAAACTCTTCCTTCAGGATCAAATATGAATGGAAATAAAAGAAATACTGAGGAGTATTTTTTTGCATGCTGATTTGACTGGAACTCAACATTCGGCTATGGGATGTTACAAAGAGCTGATCTTTTGCTCTTTTTAAGAACCAAGGGGAGCTTGGAGGAAGATGATAAGGTGCAGAGGGGAACAGGCAGTAAAATAGGACTTTCTGTCAGTGTGCTAGGACAGATAGTGCTCAATAATAAATCCCAGCTTCATGGAAGTTATTCCATCTAACCTGTCTTATTATGTCCATGCAGTTTGGTAAAAGACACACGAGTGACAAGAAATAACTTTTATAGTCACATTTTAGAGAAAATTAAACAAGCCTTCTAAACACAACTCCAATATAAAATACATACAAAATACATAAAGTCAATTATGTTTTATGTTACACTGAATAGTAAAACCATTGTAAAGTTCAATAGAGAAAACCACACACTTTATAACCCTCCTCAAGCAGCAGCTATGCTTCAGAGTTGTCTTATTATACTTTCTAGATGAAATTATTCATTTTAGAAAGAAGAAAACAATTATGAACCACAAATGCTGTTATTAATAATCTACTCCCATCTAAATACACACATGCATGTGCACTGACACGAAATAAGGTTTACAAAAACAGCCAGAAGCACTCGTCTGTCTTCTCCGAGACATCAGTGCAAATTTAGATGTATGAAACAGCTGGACTATGAAAGAACTCCAACTTAAAGGCTAATGAGAACAATAACAATTAGGAATGATGAAAAGAGCATCTGCTCTGTTGTCTATTATTCCAAAAATAAATATTCACACGTCTCACTTTTGATTTATGCCCAGCTCCATCATGTTGTGCATCAGCACTCTGAGCACATTCTCTTTGGATCAAAACACACAAATCTAAATCTGCAATGGCAGACCCCAGTCCATCATGAGACAAAGACAGAGACAAAAGCTCCATTCAAAATCGGCACTGTCCATTAACAGGGCATTTCCAGTGAGAAGAGGTCACATTCCTCCATCTTACAGCTAATAGCTGGCACTGAATGATGGCAGAGCGCACTTCAGGCTTCTTTCTGCTTGTTGGTTGTATAATGAGGATGGTGAGTGAAGACTGTCCTGGATGGGACTGTGAGGCATAATGAATGATTCTGTCTTATATCACTGCTTCACATCACATGAGATCATGTGAAAGTGGCTGCGTGAGGACATCAGCGCTTTATCGTGCAGGGAGAGGTTACTCTGCATCCCATTACATGAAGTATTCTGGAAAGAAAGGCAATTTGCAATCAAGAAACAAGATAACGCTGATACACTGCATACATCACTGGTTTAGATGTTACATCAAAAGGGTATCAGTCAGTGTGCTTACCAGGTGATATCTGATTACAACCCATGCAGAATGTTGAGCCATGATTTCATACAGTGCATCCATTTTGACCATCTTTATTTGTAATGGCATACCACAAGGGCAGCTAGGACAGCTGAATCCCACACATAAGCATCTGTTTTTCTCAAAAGAAAAATCTATGGCAATCTTTCAAAACTCCAGAAGATCATTTAACAACGTTGTTCTGAAGATATTTCAAGAATCTTTTCATGAAGGACCGTTGAATCAAATATATTTAGTTTACTGCACAATAAAAAAACATTTTTGATGGACACCTTAGGGGTCCTTTCTGGATTTGTACAAAATTAAGAACTTTTTATTATCATGTATATCTGTGTTAATGTTATATTTATGTTGTGTCATACAAAATGAGTAAGGACTTTGGTTGGGTTAGAAAATATAGTAGAGTCACAACAAGGGAAACAGTTTAATTCTTTTTTATATTTTGCTTTAATAGATTTTTTTTATCCAGATGGGCAGAAGAGTCTTTGAAGGTTCTGGAAAAACCTTCAAAACAAAGGTAAATGATGTTAAAGGACCTTCTGGGTTTCTGAAAGACTGCCATGGATTTATTTTTCAGAAAAACAGATGTTAAGCTCTGAAACTCAAATGTAATGCTAATACACAAGAGAAAAAAACAAGGGGTTGGTTATATCATGACCTACACTGACATTTTAATTCATATTCAGCACTGTCAAAGAGCAAAGGTAACTGCATCAGTCTGTTATACAATGCTACAGGCTTTGCATGTCATAATCTTCATCTGTTGTGCATCATTCAGCTGTTGCTCCTTTGAAGAATCTGATTCAACAGTCTCTGCAACAAGAAAACAAAATACTCAGATTACTAAAATGCCTATGACAGAATGAGGGCTGTAGATCAACGGTCTAGTTCTCAGAAAAGCAAAACACATTCTCTCCCAGCTTCAGATGGGAATCAAACAGTCCTGTACAGAAACATGGTCCCTGCCGTCCTCTCACCCACACTGTTCAGGTTTCCAGCTCCTCTTTCAGGACCTGCTGGATCTCTGGCTTTGGCCCTCTTCGCGTGTGTTATCTGCCACAGCAGCAGTGTAGGTGGAGCAGCTGTGTGTGGGCACCCACACTGTCTGCAGCTCGGCTGAATGGTGGCACTGCACTGTAGCTCTCTCTGCCACTGAAGGGCCTTTTGTTTCACGAGGAACACAGGCCTCATACACTCAGCACAATGAGACTGTTCACAGTTTCTCTCCATAATGAGAGAAAGGATGTGGGGTGCAGTGTGGAAGAGAGAGACTAAAATTGCTATAGCAGTTCAAAACCTGTTCTGTAAAGCGTGATAATTATTGACCGTGCGATAAAAAACAACAACTAATAATACGCCTACATGTTGAAAATGCAGCCAAAGTATAGTTTTGCAAAAGTTTGGCAACAGCGACCTCTGGTGGAATAATAAAGTCATTGTTCTAAAAGCACAGACAAGCTCAAGAAATGTTTCAACAGCTTAAATATTTAGTGAAATGTGTATTTAATAATAAGCAAAACTTAAATTTTCACCAAATTTACATCTATACTATTTCTTTGCAATCAGTACGGCAGCACAAAATCAAAGATCACCTCTAAGACGAGTTACCGAAAGTAAAGAGTGCACTTAATAACATAAAATTGTAACATCAGAGCACTATTAAAGGGGATAAATACCCTAATCACGGTTAATCAGAGAATAAACCTATGCTGTGCGTCCCATCCAACCCCTTGTTTTGGTGTCTGAGGTTTTTGTATTAACATGCCTTAAGTTCAACCTCATTGGTCCCATTCAACACCAGTCTGTCCAGTTAACCATAATGGAGTTGGTAGGCAATTTGAAACCATTATTTTCAACAGCTGCCCTGCTGTGAAGAGAGAAAAAGCTGCATCATTACTGCAGCCCTTTAGTGTTGGCCATTAGTGCAAAATGTTTCACCCTTTGCAAGGTTTAATTGAGCTTGTAGGAGAAAGGTGTGTTATTACTTGCTCAATTGTGTGTGAGTCAAATTCACAATTAATGTTCTGTTCAGTGTCTCAGGCAAGTAGCCTATTTGTTAACACTGTGGAGAGATGTTTTGAGGTTATTTGCTATATTTCATATTTTCAGGGATTTGGTGATTCAGTGCATCATTTTTGCATACATATTTATTTATAACAACTTCAAGGAGATACATTTACGCAGGTTTGGTGCTTAAATAGTAAGATATGACCACTAGAAGAATCTGTCTCTTTCCAGTAATGGAAGATGGATCTTGTTCTATGTAACATATTAACCCCTATGATATACAGTTGTTTTCTCCCTTACGTAGTGTTAAGGTATGAAAATCATCTTAATCCACAGTCAGTCAATATCATACCATATGTTTTGTATTTGCTTTGTTTAACTCTCATTGACTTTCGCTGAAACTATTTGATGTTTACACGGTGAAATATTCAAACCCAACACATTTTTGATGGTTTAATGTATCTGTGTTTTGACAAAAACATATAGGGATTACCTTTTTGAAAAGTTCAACTCGCTGTCTGTTGGTCAAACACTCCTCTCTCTTCTTCTCTTCCTCTTTTTTCCTCTTCACTTCTGCAAGCGTACTGTAACAAAATTAGAATTTCACGTGTATCTATTTATTACTATGATTTATTACCATTTGTCAACCAAGAACTGAGTCACATACAATTATAACAAAAGCCTTTGTTACGGTTGAATGTAATCATTTCTGAATGTTGGGATACGGTCATTCACTTTCCATGTAACTTGCAACACTATAATCTGTAGTCAAGTCAAGTCAGGACTTGACTGTATTCCGTATAAATCCACAGTCTCACACCTCCCTCTAATATTTCTTCCTAATCAATAGATGGATATGTCAGGAAGGAGAAATAAACAAGTAAAAATAAACAAGTGAGGCAAGGAAGATAAAAAACACAATTAGAGCAAAGGTCTTGGCAGAGAAACAAGAACAGCTTATTTTGTATAGAGATGTTACAGATACCAGCCTTGCCTTCACATGTGAAAGCAATACAAGAGATAAGGATGAATCTGCCTACAAAGTAGAAGCATCTGACAGTGCGCCATGGTAGAGAGTGAGATGGAACTCACCGCTTAGATCTGAGCTGCATCTCTCTTCCAGTAATGGCTCTATCTCTGGGTTTGAAAAGGTTATCTGGAAACACGAGCATGCATGCAAACACACACACACACACACACACACAGTTCTGAATGAGTTGAAGACTCAAAAACATGGCAGTGAATCACTTTTTCAGCTTTTCTTGGAGTTTGAAAAGACGTAAAGAACAGACAAGATTATTTAACATAAGGACTGAATTCCACCTTCTCTGCTACCTTCATTTAATGAAATATAAGTTTGTATCAAGAACTGTGAATAAAGGTAATAAACCCTGATTAAAACATCAGTGAAGTAATTGGATGTTTTAAAACTCCCTGAATTGGTCTAAATCTGTCACTTTTCCAGCTGTCATTGACCCACTGGTGTATGTTTCTGTTATGGCCAGTAGAGGGCAGAAAGAACTATAAAATCTCTGTCACAAATCTTTAAATTCTTTATTGTTTACTGTGCAGGCTGGTACTCTGAATGGAAATATCTTCAGACAGAACACTGCATCGAGAGCTTAATGACATTTGAAGGACACAGAAATATTTCCAATGAAATCCAGTGCTGCAGTCATGAAGCCATTTGTTACGTATCTTACTCTAAGTGCCATTTATTGTATTTAGGCATAGCTTAGCCTGGAGTGCCAGTTTCTTTCTTACAGCTGGCCCAAAAATAGTTTAGATGATATATTAGGATGTAAATGTCATTTTTCTTCAGATTTATCAGATACTGGCCTGTTATGCAATCCATAAAATACATCTTTATGATTGCCTTTGTATATCTTATTTATGCTATTTTATTTATCAATTAAGCTTTTTCTAGGTGATTTCTGCAAATGTATTCCTGTACTTAGTTGTACAGAGTCTTAATGTTCCTGTCATTGAGTAACAGTGGTAGATCACCCTGTCTAAAACTAGTGGTAAAGGATTTTATTGGATTTAACACCCCTTCAAGCAAAACATAAACATGAATATATGTATAATTGAGCAACATGTATGAAACAACACATATTTGCTAATAACTATGCCCTTGCTCTTTGTTCTGTGCCTGTATGTGTGTGATTGGTCATGTGGCAAACAGTCACTGCAGCTGTAATGGACAATGGGCAGTACAGTGGATGAGAGAGGTGAGGGCAGCTGTTGGCACAATACCATTCAGAGAGGTAGACCGGGCACTGTGGACTCTCCTCTGCCTGAGAGCAGCATTCGCCTGTGGGTCTACTGAATCTGCCAGCTCCCTCCTCTCATGTGTCCTTCGCTCTAGCTCTCGCACTCTGCCACGGGAACGACTGATGAAGTCTGGTCTGGACCTCTGCAGTGCTTCCTGCCAAAACCAGAAACATATTGCTCTTCTTAACAAAACATTTAAGCCCAGCCCAGACTATAGCCCCGAGGCATCCCATGGAAAACACCAAAGCCAATGTAAATACATCATTCACTTTTGCTGACATTGTAGTGTATTTGAGTGGTTTCCAGCCTGGGGGTGGAAAAGTCCCAAAGGGGGTTAGGATAAACCTGAGGGGTCAGATAACTAACAACATAGGAATTTAAAAACAGAAAATGTTTTTTCCAACTTTATGAAAATCAAGCAAGTCACCGTTTGGTTATACTGGTTGCAACATACAAACATACTGCACGCTATAAATAGATACTGCATTGCTCTAAAGGGTCACACAAATCTTATTAATCTTAACTAGCTTAATATTCTTATTTGGAGAATGAAATCCCCAAACTTTTGTATTATTAGCTTAAAAATACCTCTGAACTCACCTGTAGAGAAATAGTTTCAGGTGACCTTTTAGGATCAGGACTCAGTGAAACAAATGCAGCATGAAGATGGTTGTGGTGCTGGACTGAGTTTTGATCTGGACGTGGCTTCATACATTTCCCCTCATCTGTCACTACCAAAGCAGAGAAAATCAAATTGTTTGTGTTTCATAATACACCTGGCTCGGTTTCACATGCCTGAGCGCAATGCACAAATGCCCAATAGCCCTCTGGGCCTGCCATGACATATTACTTCTTGGTACGAATCAAACAGGCACAGTATGTAAGAGCCAAGGAATTTTACTGTAGGTGTATTGATTCAATCAAAGATGTAGCTCTGAAAAGAAAGTGTTGAGCTTGCAACATTTTCACTCATCAATGATCAATGATTTATAAGGGTAAAAATTATGATTACATATGAGGGGAAGAGAGAGGTAATAATACCAGTGTTTCCCTGAGGTGATTCAGAGGAGTCCTTCTCAGAATTGCCATTTGGTGTTTTCTTCTTACTAAGTTGTCTTTGGAGTTTGATATTTGCTATGATCGCAGCTGCATTGAGAGCCAGCACTTCCTCTGGAGACTGATGTGAGTGGGGTTCTGAAACGCAAGGGGACTTTGATGTAACTGAAGAGTAAGTAAAACAGTGACAGTGGTTGATATTCAGCTACGATTTGGCAGCTGTGCACCACAGGCAGATTTTAACCCAATTTCATGATGCCTTGCCATTTGGAGGTTGATTGTATCAAACATTGAATTTAAATGATGTTGCCTCAGGCCCCTGTAATTAATTGATGACACTGTTAATGGATGTAATTAAAGAGTAATTAATAGTTTTACACAGAGAAAAGATATAATGAATAGAGAAACACACACTCGCTCTGCAGAAAACTCCCTCCTCATATTACTAATTCACCTGAATATTCAGAATACCAGAAAACAATAGCTTGAGCTAACAGTTTTTTTTTTTTTTTTTTACTATTTTCCATAATACAAGGGGCAATTTGAGTCACACTTAAGTCACAAGAATGAGGACTTGCAGGCAATTTTTAAAATCCTGGACAAATAAAAGATTAATAAGACAGCAACATTTGCATGACCCCACATATTACATATTTGATTATGTATCTAAAGGATTGGAAGCACTTGCAACTAGATATGCAATTGACTTATGTAGACTTGTAACGTGACTTGGACAAGATGAGATAAGACTTGAAGTTAGATGAGAAAAACAACACTACTCTCTTTGTACATTAAATATGAAGCTA